CCCGCCACGGTGCCTTCTTGGACCGACGCTGGCGGATCTCATTCCAGCAGGACCGCCGCGAGAGCCGGGGACGGCAGCAACGCGGACCCGGACTCGAACGCCACGACGCCCCGAAGCGGGGCGGACAGCCTGACGCCGCTGGGGGCGGCCGTCCCTCCCAGGCTCTCCTCCTCCCCGAGGGAGGAGTATCGCAGCGGCGGCGGCGGCGGCGGCGGCGGCGGCGGCGGCTTCACGCCGCAGTACGGGTCGTCTGCCGCTACCACCGCCACCGGGTCGACGACCACCGAGGAATCCTTTCCGGTGGAGCCCGGCGGGCGCAACAATTCCGGCAGCAGCATCGAGAACGGCAGCAGGAGCGGCTGGGGTGGCGGTGGCGGCGGCAGCGGCGGCGGTGGAGACCACCGCGTAAGAGGTGGCGGCGGCGGCGGCGGCGGCGGCGACGACGTGGGCCGGGGCTCGGGCTCGATCGATTCGCTTGCCACGGACACAGCGGCGTCTAGCCTGCACGGCTACGGCGGGGGCGGCGGCGACTGGGACGTCTCCAAGGAGGAGGACGGCGGGAGGGGAGGGGAGCCGGGGCTGGACGGGGTATTGGCGGCGGCGGCGGCGGCCCTGGCTGCCGCGAAGGAGGTGGCGGGGGGAGCGCGGGTGTCGATAACCCCCGCCAACACCCAGCACCACGTTTCGGAGTCTCTCCCGCCTCCCCCCCCACCCTTGTCCCTGGGATCGTCCTCCACCGATGCCGGCGGCGGGTTCGAGCGGGGGGGGCCCGCGACGGGAAGTCCTCGGCTGGGAGGGGGGGGTTACGGGGGGAGCCGCCGCCCGCGGGGAATGAGCCTGAACGACGTGCGGCTGCCGCCCCCGTCGCTGTCGAGACGTGGCGGATCGGACAAGGAGGAACGTGGCGCCGTAAGCTTGCACGGCCGCGGGGGCGGGGGGGCGGGTGCGGCGGAGGAAAAAGATCCGGCGTTTGCCCGCGCCTTGGCGGAGGTCGCACAAGCAGAGGCGGAGATTGAGGCCGCGGAAGTTGCTGCGATGGAGGCCGAGCGACTGAGGGTGAGGGACGGAGTGTGTGTGGGGTGGGAAAGGTGCTTGTTTGATTCCCGGGGATCATGTCAAACTTTTCCTCGAGTTTTCCACCCAAGTGTTTAGCCCACGAAACGATTTCATTTTCTGCTCAGTCATGGAAATTGGACAAGCATAAGTCCCATCCAGGCAGGTTCAATGACACACTTTAACGCGCGTTGAGAGGCCGTGAAGATCCGGCGTCAAAGGCGGTGTGGTTTGCCCAAGCACCTACTTGGGTACATGCATGCTGGTCTTGGTTAGGAGGGGGAGCATGCTCCATGATTTACCTTTCAGAGCTCCTTGCTTTGGATGATGAGCGTGCTGTTCCCGTTTCATTATTGCCCGTGCTGTCATTTGTGAATCGTTGCTGGTCGTCGCCAGACGTCCCGCGTGTACTGCGAGGCCTGTCCGGACGATGGAGTGACGGAGTTCTTGGCAGACGGAGAGATGAGGGGGGGAGGCCCCTCGTGGAAGGGGCTGGTGACGGCAGTAGGTGAGGGGGTGGGGGGAGAGAGGGAGAGAAAGAGAAAGACAGACAGACAGATAGACAGACCCTCGGGACGGCAGTTGATAAGCGAGAGGGAGAGAGAGAGAGAGAGATACGACACGGCACGGCACCATGGCCTGGCTTGTTTGGGGGCCTGCCGGCCGATTCGCGTATCTCTCGTCGACCGTGCTTTGCAGCAAACACACAGTAGCGCACGGCGCACTGCCAAGCACCTGTACACACGCTACTGCTGATTTGTTGAGTGCGCCATTTTTGTCCTCATCGCTCGCCGGTTTTTCACGATTCGCGGCAGGTGGTAAAGCAGACAAGACAGTAGGTTTCGCCACATTAACGACGGCCTCGAAACGTTCAACAAAAAAAATGCTTGCTTGGCACGCGACCCCACGTTGCCGGGCCTGCCACTTTGCCTCAGCAACCTTCGAACGAACTTCCTCTAGTTTGGCTTACTGCGGAGCTCTCCCCCCCTCCCCTCCCCCCCCCGCGGCCTCCTTTTTCCGCCAAAGTCGCCGAGTACGTTCACGAGTTACCGGAAGGAGCGCTGGTAGGGATGGAGGCCGTGGTGGTCAGTGACGTGCCTGGAAACACGGGACGAAGACACTCTGCTCCTACGGATGAGGCCTTGGCTACCAGCGGCGGTGATGAGAAGGAGAAGGCGGTGGCAGCAGTAGACGACGGCGGCGACGGCTCCGGCGGCACCGGCGGGGGGTACGGCTGGGGGGGCGCGGCGAGGTGCGCGCTGGCCATGGCATCGGCGACGTTTCTCGAGGAGGTCATGGGAATGGGAGGCTTCCCCCGCATGAAGGCGATGCGCTGCTTCAGCGCTTCCCTGCGCTGCGGGCGACCCCGCGACGCAGCAGGAGACTATCTAGCCCCCAGCATCGTTTGCGCACGCAGCAACAGCAGCAGTAGCAGCAGCAGTAAAGGAAGCTGCAGAGGGAAGCGTACGAGCGCGAGAGATCCGGCCCCGTTTTCTGTCGATGACGGAGTGGTACGGTTGCAGGGAACGCGTTTGGATGGGGCGGCGGCGGCGGTGGCTGAGAGTCCTGGGGGGATGAGGTTTGAGGATCTGTTAGCGATCGCTGGAAACGACCCATCGGGCGCCCGGTTGGTCGACACCAAGTGGAGGACGTGCTGGTAAGGGAATGTTCTGTGGATTTTATTTTTCCTCTTTTATTTTATGTTACAGTGGCGGCTACGGTTTAAAAGAGGGTCGGGATAAGCCAGTATGTCCCTCTTAAATCCGGATTTCTCTTTAACCGTACTGTGAAATGTACCATGTATTTTTCATGGTCTTGACACGCCAGTTTGACTCTCTTTAATCTGTACTTTCTCTTCAATACTCTCTCTTAAACCGTAGCCACCACTGTGCCGTTGTTTCCCCCCGTCAAAATAGCGAGAACGATGATGAATTAACGTACACGCCCTTGTTTTGTGGGAACTATAGATGCATATTCCTCGACATAGACGCCCCGCGTGACCATTGTTGCCGCGGCTGGTCAGTGGGAAACATCTATGGAAAGATGACAACTGGCGGTCCAGAAAAAATGGGACGAAGAGCAACAACACTCCAGTTGCGGTGTCCGTGGTGTAGGCAAAAGCGGAGGACGTATCCCTTGGGGTGGGTGTATGCTATACCTCCACAGCTTGTCCCTTCTACAGCTTCCGCAAGACACGAGGGCCTTGTTTCTTGATGCTCGAAGAAGAAGATAGCTAGTCCCTTTGCCGGTCGAGCCGCTGAAGCGAGGATGCCAGACAGGAAGGAAGGAGCACACGGCCGCCTGTGGCCTCTATAAAGAAAAGCAGGAACTTGGGTGTGACTTCATTTCATTCCTCGTTGACATGGGCATTTTCTGTTGCTGCGGGCACCTTCTTCCCTCCCACCACAAGCATTTTAAATCTGCCACCCAACCCTTGCCTGGCATACTGCTGTTGATTTCCCCACCTCCCACCGATTGGCCATCGGTAATTTTTCCAATGGGTCATCGGTGATCGGTCCTGTGGGAAAAATGCTTCCTCTCGAGGACACGTGGTCAATTGTCTATCAACTATGGCATGCTAAACATGAGTACATGCCCCACGCCCCCTCCGCCTCGTTGCACCAACGACTATCGACAGCGAAATTCCGATGGTGGGGCCCGGTGGTGCTGGACTGGCGATTATTATCGCGCAGCCGCTGTCCTTCGAGACGGCGCGGCGGCTGCGGTTGCAGGCGGAGCAGGAACGGACGCGAGGTTCGGCAACGTGTCAGGCCGTGGTTGGGGCGGTGAGTTTTCGCCATCCGCCCTCTGCTATTTCTGCCGTGCAAATAAACAGGAGTACAGCAGTCGTGTCCCCGGTAAAAAGAGGGTACCTTATAAGATGGGGCTCGGATATATGAGGTTGGAAATCGCTCATCGCGGACTTTGGCCCGCTAGAAATATATTGTTATGTACCCTATTGTTTCGGTAGAAGAGAGGGCTCCGGGAAAAGAGGGTCGACGGCCTTGTTGGGTACCCTATTATTTCGGTAGAAGAGGGGAATCCGGTATGAGAGAGTCGAGGGCCTTTGTTGGGTACCCTATTATTTCGGTACAAGAGGGGGCTCCGAGGGCCTTGTTGGGAACCCTATTATTTCGGTACAAGAGGGGGATCCGGTATGAGAGGGTCGAGGGCCGTATTGGGTACCCTATTGTTTCGGTGCAAGAGGGGAATCCGGTACAAGAGGGTCGAGGGCCCTCGTCACACCACCCTCTTGTACGTGTCGGAGCCACGACTGTACCTCGGATGTAGAGCTCTCGGGGTGTGTGTACGGTTGGGGGGGGGGGGG